CTGGGTGACTAGCTAGTTACTCCTATTAACAGAATAGGAAATGGGGATTTGATTTTTCTAATTTCAATTTATCTAAGAAAGAAGCATGTTTTTATTATTATTTTTACTTAGGTACAAGTTCTTTTTTTTTAAATAATAAAATAAGATAAATGCTGTGCAAAGGCAAACCATTCTTACTTGTGCTCTCAAGAGGCTGAGTTACATTACAATAATGACTAAGCAGGAGAGACTGTCAAGGATGTCAAGGTGAACAAAGTGGTATAGTCATTTCTTGAAAAGGAAGTTTGTAGGGAGGCAGTGTGGCACAGTAGTTGGGCCTACAGGCTCTGAAGTCCTATTTCCTTGGATGAATCTTTGTTTCATCATTCTGGGACAGTTACTTGACCCCTCTGGGTATTTTGAGCTCCTTCTCTGTAAATGATAAAAGCGACTACCTCTTGGTTTTTGTGAGAGTTATATGAGATACATTTTAAGCACTTAGGTCACTGCCTAGCATATATGAAGAGCTCAGTAAATGTTAGATTTTATGAATTTGGTAATTAAAAGTGATTGGGACTTTGGGTTACAGCAGACAGACTTGTATAAGACCATTTCTACTACTAAGACCAAGCAGGAAAGATAAATTATACATGCAAAGCATCCACTGAAGCACCAGGTGACTACCAAAAAGCAAGAACCTGAAAAGCCAAGATTCCAAAGAAAGGAAATTACAGAGGTGAACCCAACACCACTTTCCCTTCAAGGCATTTGACCATTCATGAGCAAGCTTTAGAGACCAAATAGCTGAACAGAACTTCAAGCAGTCTCATGGAGCTGAGGAAAACACAGGAGTTCAGGGCCCCTAAGGCGAAAGGTCCATAGTAAATACCCAGACCAAAGTGGAGATTCCTGAAGGATACTCTAAGAGTTAGGGCTAACCAGAAATATAGCAGTCTTTATAAGGGATAGTGCTCAACTTTGAATGAGCTTAGCCCTTCCCAGTATTACAGTAATCTGTTCCATCCTAACTGCCTAACAACAACAACAACAAAAAGGTAAGCCCTTTCTGGAAGAAGAAAATAACATCCACAACCTCAAAGCATCTCTTTACTAGTTTGTAAACAATGCCCAGCATCTGATCAAAAATCACCAGGCAGGCCAGGAGACATGACCAATGAACGAAAATCTAGAGAAGAAGAAACAAACAGAAAAGCAGATGGTAGAAACAGACCCACAGAAAATCTAGATGTTAGAGTTATAGCCACAAACTTTAAAAGAACTGCTATTACTATTTTTTTTTTTTAATTTTGTTTTGTATTGAAGTGTAGTTGATTTAAAATGTTAGTTTCAGGTGTTCAGCAAAGTGACTCAGTTTTACATATACATACATTTTTTTTTTTCAGATTCTTTCCCACTATATTTTATTGCAAGAAACTGAATATAGTTAATATAGCTTCCTGTGCTATACAGTAGGTCCCTGTTTATCTATTTTATAAACAGCAGTTTGGATCTACAAATCCCAAACTCCTTAATTATCCCCCCCTCACCTTTTCCCCTTTGGTAACCATAGTTTGTTTTCAATGTCTGTGAGTCTATTTTTGATTTGTAAATAAGATTTGTATCTTTTGGTCAGATTCTCTATATAAGTGACATCATATATTTATTTGTCTTTGTCTGACTTACTTCACTTATTACGTTACTAATATCTTTAAGAAAATGATGACAAGACGATCAATTTCATCAGGTAGTTTAATCTGTGCAAAAGAAACTAACGATGCCCTGAAACTGGAAAATGAATGGTTGATAATTTGAGAGGAAATTTTTTAAAAGACAGTATGTTCTTTGTGCTTTGGCTTCATCCTAAGTAAACTGTATCTTTGAAGTTAACTAAACAGCTGTGTACCAGTAAGGGCCCATACTTAGAACAGAATTTCAAAGCTTTGATTGACTAATACAGAGCTACAACCTTGGGAGAGAAATAATTACAACTTAATTATTTAAAGAAACCTATGCCCCCACTATTTCTCTCGCCAGTATGGTTAAGGGAACATTGGGACTCTAGTGAAGGGTCATTAAATGCTTTGAGCAAATCACTATTTACTCTTACTTTAAATAGCAACAGTACTTCCCTATCTCAATTTCATTACAAGAAAGATTGCTACGAGAAATGCAAATGTATTTTCTAATTTATTGGTCATTATTTACCTAATCTGAACTGTAAAAAAATTATGCTATTGGGGATATGACTACATATGGAACACAAAAGAACTGTAGGTCATTTGAGTGGTTACTGTGGGCTGTTGGTACATTGAGTTACTAAGAGAAACATAATTAGCTACTGGAATAAATCATTTGAGGGTAATAAAGATGAAATTTGTGTCAATAAATTTATTCAATGCAATACTAATTTTACTCCACAATTTAACTAAGTCCTTTATGGGTAGTTTCTGAATAAATCAGAATTTTTCTTCTCACTAACATAAAATATAATAAAATAAAACAAAGCTGGCATTAGCCAGTTAGAAGCAACTCATTACAGTGAGAATTGTACTTACTTCCCAATCTATAATTTTGGCTCTGCGTATTTAAGTTGAATGGGAACACGAACTTACACCCTCTATGTTCTTATGTTCTTACAATTTCATTAGCTCTCTAGTATAGCTTAACTAGAATACTTCTTCTGACTTCATGGGATTGTAATTGTGTGATAATATATTGGAGCAAGATAAAAAGATTCTTAAACACCAAACATTAACAAATACTTATTGAAAAAAATGAGAAATAGATTTGTGATTTGTTTACATAATCTCCTTGAGAAAGACAAAATGTTGAGGTATCCTGGGATTAACAAATTAAGTTTTTAGTCCTGGATTTGTCCTTGACTAGCTCTGTAAACTCAAGCATGTCATTTAACCATTCTGACTCAATCTGCTTAGCTATAAAATAAAGATAATTGTGTATGATGTAACTCCATAATTAATCCACGGTACTTTAGTAAACACCTTCAATGTGCCAGTGCCTTTGTGAAAGGCTAAGAATATTACGAATATAGAATATTGTTGAAGAATTGAAAACTACAATGTATGTTTAAGTCACACATTATGCAGGCAATTATTTTATGCTATTGAGATTATAAATATTTTTCTAGTGAGGCCAGGAGCATTTAGTTCTTACCTCAAATGCAAGGGGATCCTTATGGTGGCAAATTTTACAAATAGAAACTTGCCTCAGCAAAATAAACTACATGACAGTTATCAGGGAAAACAGGTAGAATAGGAAATAACTGTTTTTTAACCAAGATAGAGAAAGGACAGTGAGGCAAATAATAAAGTCATGACTTCTTTAGAACCCTGAGTTCAGAAGGACTGGTGATCTGGGAATAGCAAGAGTTAAAATTACCTATCAGCTTAGTGTTTCCATGACAAAACAGGAAAACCACAATGGAAAATTTTTTCTTTGATTAAAGAAAAGAAAAGGACATTTTAAAAATACCAACCTCACTACAAAGAGAGAATAAGAAAAAATAAACTGTTACCCTGCAATGTGAGATACCCACTGAGAACTGTATAAATGAAGATGACAATTGTGATAACGAAGACTAGAGAAAAAGGCCACAGTAAGAACACAGCCTCTGTTTTGATAAAGCCTACAGTCAGTGAGATTTCAGCCTCTAGACTCACTGACTCTGCATCTTTCCAGAAATTTTCCCACTGTTGGTTAAAATGTTGAACACAACATTCCATAATGTCACTCCGCAGTCCGACCAAAACATCAGATTACAATGACAACTAGAAATAAAAGAGTCCTTTTGAGCAATATTCTCTCAGCTTCCAGGGAGTGTGAGAGAACGATATGGTGGGCTGAGTAGAACTGATCTTACCTTATAGTCTGTGTGTATTAACGCCCCAAGTAAATGATTAATCCCACACAGAACAATTCTTCAAAGGAGTGGAAACATCTAACGTGGTTATGAGATTTCCAAAAGTTAGTCTATTTAATTGAAATAGTAACCATCGCTCACTTTATAAAAAAATACAGATTTCAGAAGACTTGACCAAAGTGAATCCTTTTTTAAATTGTCAGCATCCTTGTAGTAGCCAGAGATTGATTTCCCAAGAGAAAAATAACCCTTCAGCTGAAAATAAGATATTGAGTCTGTGTTACTTTAAATACTCACGAATTCATGGTTAATAATGCTCACTATCAATTCACATTGTCAGAGTTTCTCCCATGCCTAGTGACTGCCTAAAGCATCACCTTTGATGTTCCTGTAACTTTATTCCTAGATTCTTTATTCTCTTATCCAAAACTTCAGGCTGTCTAATAGAACTTAATTACAATGTCAATAAAGCTTTACGCCAAACATGCTTTTATTCTAATTTAGACATTCTGTAAATTTAAGGCTACAATTTAGTAAATTTCCATTCTTTGTCAATTTGGTAAAATGAAATAAACCATTAAGTTTAAATTTCCTTATTCTTTCTGTCATTTAAATTTCTAATTAACCTTTCCTATCAAGTGGCAATAAACAATGGCCAAGGGGCTTGTGGACTTGGCTGTCCTGGAGCACTTTCATTACTGGGTCCTTGAGCCACATAAGTTTTCATGTCTACTAATACTTTCGGAATCAGAACCAAAAAATGTCACAGAAGTTACAAATAAAAAGTATAAATATAAATCATCAGATTCAGATGAAAAAGCCTTCCAAACTGGGCATACTTTTTGGAGAGATTTCTTTGTACCACTGCTAGGATATAATTATTTAATAATTTTATGAAACTCATGGGTCATGATGCCAAAGATATCAGAATACAAAACAGAACAAAACCCAAACAATTAACAGTCAGTGCTACCCACTAGATATTTAAAATTGCATTTTTATTTTTATAAAGCAAAAGAAACCAGGAGGTGAGAAAATGATTGGAGGTTCATGACTGTAAAATGACCTTTTCTGGACACTTGGAGGAAAAGATGGAGAGGTCAAGGTCAAGAGGAAAGGAAGCCATCAGTACATCGCTTACTTCTTTATATCCGAAGATGATGCGTCCATCCATGAGGAGGGTTGCTTGGAATGTGAAGCTTCCCAGGTTGTAATTATCCTGGAGATGTACATGGTCCCACTGGACAACAAGCGCTGTGCCTGTGAGCCCCAAGGGAACAGAAGAAATGCAATGAGAAAAACACAGCAAGCAATCCTGATGGGAATCTTCACAGACGCAGGGATCTAACCTTCAAACCTAGTAGCTGAGTCACTTGAATTTTCGATTCAGTTAATTGGAATTCTGTTACTGAACTAGCACTTGGGATATTTTTAAAGAACTGAGTATTCTCTAAATATTTGGTAAAATCTAACCTCATACCGAGGTTAATATTGAGCCCAGTATGGGGGAATTTCGCCTTAGGAAGTCCGTTAATGTTAATGGGAACTGTCTGCTTAAATTTCCATGAGGCACTTTCAAAACACAACCCAAGTGGATTGAATGAACTTCAAATACGTTTGACAAATGCTGAGAGAGAGAGAGGACCACATTCAGAAAAGTTAGAATCACCCATAAAAGACTTGAAAATGTCTCTTCCATACTTAGAATTACACTCTTCCATGCTGAAGAAATTCCTTTAACACTAATGGGAATTCCTTCTTTGATTCACAATGCCTGCATTTCTGTCTTTCTTGTAGTGCTTCTAGAAGGTTGCCAGGTAGCTTAAAGGCCCCAGGCTAGGATTTCTGAAGCCCGCTTGAAGTACACTGAGATGAATCTTCAGTGCTGTGTATCATATTCTGATGAGTCAATCTGCCAGTGTTTGCTATAAAACTATTACCATGAAATATAAATTGAAACACAGTTTAATAGCCACCAAAGAGAATTCATATTTTATTTTAATTGACATCTTTTTTCTTTTTTAGAAAACAAATAAGCAGCTAAGACTTTTGCTTAGCTCTAAGTATTGAATTTTCTGATCTCTTACAAAGTCATGTTGCCAAAGAATGATGTACAGAAATGATGCCAAACAATGACGTATAGAAATGAAACTCACAGAACTGGAACAGCAAAATGTTATCTCCCAGGTCAGTAAGTATTTGATTAAAAAGATAAAAAAAAAATCAATATTGTATGACAGGGAGCTTTCGGGTTAGTGGAGATGTGGAGATGCTGGGAGAGTAGAGTGCGCAGAGAGGGCATGGAAACTCCACACCCCTTCCCACACTCCTGCCCCATGCATTTCTTTCATCAGACTCTTCCTGAGTTAATCCCTGAACCAGGTGATTGAAGGAGAACAGAATACTGTCATTACTGTGCTGCTGAGTATAACTTGATGAGATCTTTTGACCAAGATGGTGATACAGGAGGCTCTTGACTTTCCCTCCTCCCATGGATACGCTGAATGTACAGCTACACATGGAGCAATTTCTTTCAAGAGAAATTCAGAATCAGCTGAGTGACTGTTACATATCAGGCGAACTGGGAAAATACCCACACTGAAGCTGCACACATCTAGGTGCTTACTGTCATCCTCCCTGGAGCCCAAAAGAGCCAGTGGGTACTTCCCGTGCTTCCTCCCTTTGACTTAGTCCAATGATAAAACAAAATCATCAGCATCTTTCTGGAAGGAGCTTGCACATATGTCTGGCACCCAGCTTTTATGCCACCCCAGGTCACCTAGATCTGAGAGACAATGGGGTTTGCATTCATGAGTCCCCAGGACTGTAGCACACAAAGAAGCAATTGTTACTAGGCATGCCCGGGAGCACTTGCATTGTTTATAAGTATACATCCAGTGGGAAAAAAAATAGGCTAACCAATACATACCATTATCAAAATATCTGACGGTTGAATTTCTGGATACACTGGGATCAAAATTTGCCATTAAAGGTGCTATGTACTGTGTGGCTGTTAGCATGCGATGTACAACTTCTCCAGTGTATATAAAACCTACAGTTAGAAAAATGAGAAATATAGTAAGAAAAAGCCCAGACAAAATTTTAATTAAAATATCTCAACGCAACTTCAGTCACATTTCAAAAATAAAATATCACAGTAGCTAACAAAAAGAAACAATGTCAATGTCTGATCAGCAATAATTGGGTCTGAATTAACTGACAAATTCTTGTGTGATGTAGGTAGCACCATGCAGACTGGTAAATCAGAAATCTATAATATGTACAATTTTAATTGTGGGAAAGTGACTATTATCTGGAACAAATTGTTAGGCTGAAAAGCCTAATATAGTTCTCTTAAGCAGTTCAAACATTAAACATGCCTTTAGTAATCCCTTGTTATTTTAACACTAGCCAAACAGGCAAGTCCAGTTTGCAAATAAAATGCATTTTCACGATGTTCAATGCAGTTTCTTAATCTCAGTTTAGGACATGTTAGAAATCACACATACATATCTTGAATATTAAAATGCAGAAAACGTTTTGAACCACTTTTGTCAAAGTTGAAAGGAGGCTTAACACCCATGGCACATTTGTCAGATTGTTTAAGTAGAACCGTATCAAGGAGGTAAAGTCTATCTGTCTGCAGATACGATGGTAAAACATTGATAATGTACAACAGATACCTCGCTATTTAGAGGGTTATCGATGCCAGCCTATTCCAGCTGTTGGATAACGAAAGAGAATTTACTACGGAGAACTTCGTCTTGAATTAACTTTCAATAGCTCCTGTGTTACCCACTTTCAATTATTCACACTGGGTTTATTTACTTTGTGGATTATCCATGACAAATTGTTAATCCTACACTGGCTTCTTGCCTCCAAGGACTTCAGCTGCCTGAAAAGAGACTCAGCTCAGGGAATACTGATTTTTAATATTAACCTAAGAAGTCCACAATGAAAAAGCATCTATAAAAATGCACAAGCACACATGCATTATTACAAAGTAAAATTCAAAGCAAGTTATTTGTGATGATGCAATTGTGATGTTTAGGCAATCATGAATTAACTACATATCTGGGGTTACTACAGATCATTTTTCCATTTTCACAAGGACGAATAAAATAAAACAAGCAGGATTTTTTTTTTCTTAAACACAGAATTTTGTGGAATTTAAACCTCTAAAAGTGTTAAAACTTTTGTTGTTTCACTTTGTGGTCTGAATAAAAGTTTCACTGGTGCATCATGCCCTTTATTGTTTCAAATTCTCAATTGTAATTTCTAGGTAAGCTATTGGAGAATTAAATCTGTAGTTATTTACTTTGATATTAATTTCCGTCTTTCCAGCAATGTCTTCTTTCCTCTGACTTCCTTTATATTTTTATCAAAGGCATAACTGAATTGTAACTATTCACCTTTAAAAAAGGCATTTAAACAAGTAAAATCTTTAGCATGTGTTTAAATCATCAGTTACTCTTTGTTTTTCATTTGCCAAAAAATACCTTTCAAAATAAATTCCCTATGTCTTGAGCAGAACTTTGTCCGTTTGCAATTTCATATAGCTCAAGTATACTAAAAGATATTATGAAAAGGTGAAACAGTCATTGCTTTTATTTGATTTCCCTGTAGATTTTCAGAATCAAGCTCTTACTGTTCAAAGTCCAACATCACATCCTTAAATTATAAAGATGAAGAGTGACCACTTTTCAAGGTCTGTGATTTATTTTTTTTTCTTTTATCCTCACCAGCATGCCTTTATAATTTTATAATTATAATTTTAAAATGGATACAAAGATCCTATAAATATGATTTTTTTAAGGAAAAGATTGAATTATACTCTGAAAGTGTTCTTTTAGGGACCATAGCTCTGGGTAGTTATTCCCCTGCTTTAAGTTCTCCATGGACTAATAAGAGAACTTGATTGATTTAAAGAATAAAGAGGGCAGTAAGAAAATTTTAAATCAATACAAAATTCATTCATCAAAACAACTCTAAGAAAATGCAACAGCACTTCCTAGAAAAACAGACTTGAAAACGCAGAGCCATCAATGATTTCAGATATTTAATTCCTACTGTTAGTTTTTAAAATAAAGAAGACATACATACATCTTACTTATTTTAAATAA